GGAGAGGAGAGGAGAGGAGAGGAGAGGAGAGGAGAGGAGAGGATGAAAACAATGAATGGGAAGGAAAGAGGATGAAGAAAGAGAGAAAGGAGAAGAGTGAACGAAAAAAAAGAACGATATAGGAAAGAATGGATGACGAAATGAAGGATAAAAAAAGAAAACAAAAAAAGAAAAAGTCAAGAAGGGAAGGAAGGGGAAAGGAGTAGGATAAAAGGAAGAGAAGGGACGAAAGGAATGGTGAGAGAGGCTTTTAAATTTAAGTATGGATGGAATGGAGAAATGACGGGAGGAAGACAGGGAAAAAAAAAAAGAAGAAGAAAGAGAGCGACAGGGACAGAAGAAGGGAAGGAGAGAAGGAGGGCTCCTCTCCGGGCGCCAGTGGTGCCAGTGCCGGCCCTGGCTCCCCCGCCGCCCCCCCCCCCCCCCCAAAAAGTAGTGATTAACGTCCAGGTGCTTTGAAGAAAATAAAGTCATTTATTGTCAAAGCATCCAACATACCCAGATAAACTATAAAGTTTAATAAATCTTTTCGAGGGAGTAGAAAGGAAGAAAAAAATAAAAAGAAAAGAAAAAAAAGGAACACGTAACTATCAAGACTTCATTTCACGGGCACGAAATTACACGCGGGTTTGAGAGGACCTGGGTGCGGACGGGCTCGGCGGCCGCTGCCCGCGCCGCGTCCTCCGTGCTTTTAACTTTATATCTAAAATAAAAATTTACCCTTACATAGAATTATTATTACATCTAAACCATAAGTGCTTAATAATTTAAGTAGAAACGTATGACAAATGCATCAATATGTTGCAATATATGACATTTTAAAAAATGTATTTTTAAGTCATTTACTTCTTTTTTTTCCTCTCCTTTTTTTTTTTTTCCAGTGACTGATTTCTTTTTTTGCTCTTTTTTTTTTTTTTTTTTTTTTTTTTTTTTTTTTTTTTTCGTTCCTCCCCACCCCTGTGTCACCCCCGTCGCCCTCCCCAGCCCCCTGGAACGTGGAAATGCGTGCAGCGCCAGGACGGGCGCGGGGCGGCCGGCGGGCCGGGCCCGAGCGCGGGCGCGGGGGAGAGCGCTAGTTGTGCGAGGTCATGTGGCGGGAGAGGTGGTGGCGCTCGCGGAAGGACTCGTTGCAGATGGGACACTTGAGCTTCTCCTCGCGGCGGCGCTTCACGAGCGGCTCCATGGCGTACTCCTTCTTGTGGTGCGAGCGCATGTGGTACACGAGGTCCGAGGTCATGCGGAAGGAGGCGTTGCACTTGGCGCACCAGTTCTGCGCCGGCAGGCACAGCGACGTGAAGGACGGCGGCAGCAGCGTCAGCGCCGACGGCAGCTGCAGCTGCAGCGGCCCCGCCGCCGCCGCCGCCACCGCCGCCGCCGCCGAGCTCTTGGGCCAGAAGGCGGTGGCGTAGAGGAAGGGGCTCTGCTTGGGCAGCCCCCCGCCGCCGCCGCCGCCGCCG